GCATTAATGATAATAACAGTAAAAATAATAACAACTATAAAAACAACACTTATGATAAGAATAATGATAACAATCACCACCATCATTATCACAATATCCATAATAAAACTGATGAAAACAATAATTAGCAACAACAACTACAACAACAACAACAGCAATAACAATATAAGATAACGTAAAGAGCACAGTAATAACCTGGAATGGCGCCCTAAAAGCAAGGTTTCCGTTATAACGTTGTTCTTTTGGCGAGAAAAATAATCTCATCCATTCTAGTTCTTGTGTTCTCTGTGGATCTGTGCGCGCGGGTGTCCACTGCGGAATGGCCCTATAAATTGCGGCTGAGGCGTCCCTGCTTTTTGTCTTTTGTTATCGTGTGTGTGTGTGTCCGTGTTAGAATATATATATATATATATATATATATATATATATATATATATATATATATATATATATATATACTATATATATATATATATATATATATATATATATATATATATATGTATATATATATATATATATATATATATATATATATATATATAGTATATATATATATATATATATATAGAGGAGAGAGAGAGAGAGAGAGAGAGAGAGAGAGAGAGAGAGAGAGAGAGAGAGAGAGAGAGAGAGAGAGAGAGAGAGAGAGAGAGAGAGAGAGAGAGAGAGAGAGAGACAGAGAGAGAGAGAGAGAGAGAGAGAGATTAAGAAAAGTGAGAAAGAGAGAGGAGAAAATAAGAAATTAAAGAAAAAAGAATGAGATGGAGAGAGAGAGAGAGAGAGGAGAAAAAAGGGCACAAGAGAGTGAGGAGAACTTAATTGAAATCGAATTGTCTGCTCGGCCAATCACCCAGTAATACTCTCGCCCTCAATTAGCGGGGGGGGGGGGGGGGGGGGGAGACGTTGCTGGGGGACGCATTCACCTCACTTGGATAGATAGTGGGGGGAAGGAGGGGGAGGGAGGAGGGGAAGAGAGGAGATGAAGGGAAGAAGGGAATGGAAGGGAAAGAAGGGGAGAAGGAGGGGATGAAGGGGAAGAGGGGGTGATGAAGGTGGAAATAAGGGAGATGAGGGGAGGAGGAAAGAGGGGAAAGAAGGGGAGATGGAGGGAAAGAATGGGAGAGGGAGGGGAAGATAGGAAGGAGGAGGGAAAGAGGGGGTGATGGAGGAAAGAATGGGAGAAGGATGGGAGGAGGGAAGAGGGGGAGATGAAGTGTGAAAGAGAGGGAGATGGAGGGAAAGAAGGGAAGAAGGAGGGAGGGAGGAGGGAATGGGTAAGGTAGGGGGAAGCGGCAAAAGGAGGGAACGAGTAAGTGAAAGGAGAATGGAAAAGGGAAGAGGGAGGGGAGGAAGATAAGAGTGTGAGCAGAAAGGGTTGGGAGAATGGTAGAGAGAAGGAAGAGGTAGGAATAGAGAGCTGGAAAAGATTGAAGAGGCAAAGGGCAAGGAAAATGGGAAAGGGAGGGTGAAAAGGTGAAAGAAGGAGGGAAAGGGGATGGAGACAAACATGCATAAGGAAGAGAAGGAAAGAGAGACGGCGGTGGTAAGTTTAAGAAAAGAGAATAAGAAGAAAACAAGAAAGGATTTGAAGGGGAAGGGGGGGAAAGGATAAAGGGGGGTTGGAGGGTAGGGGTGCGAGGGGAAAGAGGGAAGGTGCTGAAGGGGGAGAGGGACGAGGTGAGGGGAAAGGGTACAAGAGGGAGGGCGAAGAAGGAGCACCACCCCACACCCTCCCCCCCCCAGCTTACCCACCCTCTTCCTCCCCCTCCCACCTATTTCCTCCTCCTCTCCCTCTTTCCCCCTCTCTCCTCTCCTCCTCCCCCTTCATTCCTCCCACTCCCCCTCTCCTCCTCCTTCCCCTCTTTCCCCCCTCCCCCCCTCTCCCCCCCCCCTCTGCCTGACACAAAACCGTTTAGTTTTATTGCTTCCGATGAGTCACGGCGGAGTGTCTCGAGGGCCCCATCTTGAGCACGAACTCCCCTTCGCCTCAAGCAAGGGTGTTTTATTCCTCAAGGCGCGGCGGGTGGGATTGTCTTCGGATTCTTCTTTTGTGTGTGGGGGGGGCAGGTGGGTGGGGGGAGGATGGGAGGTGATTCCTGATATTTTTTTTGGGGGGGTGGGGAGGTATTGTTATTCTGAGGTTTCGGGTGTGTTTTTTTTTTTTTTTCTTTTGTTTACTTTTTTTTGTCTTTTTGGTTTATATTTATTTTTTGTTTTTTTTTCTTTCTTTTTTTTCGTCGTCTGTTTCTTCTTCTGTTTCCTCTTTTTTGTTTCGTCATCTACTTTTTTCTGTTCTTTATGCTTATTATTATTATTATTATTATTATTATTATTATTTACTCCATTTTTCTTTATTCTTCTTATTCCTTTTCTATTCCTTTGTTTCTTTATCTTCTTGCTCTTCTGGTTCTGTTTTCATCCCTTTTCCTTCCTCTTCTTCTCTCTTTCTTACACATTCCTCGTCTTTTTCCTCTTGCTTCTTCTCCTTCTCCATCTCTTCCTCCTCCTTCTTCTACTCTTCCTCCTTCCCCTCTTCTTCTTCTTCCTCCTCCTCCTCTTTCTATTCTCCCTTTTCCTTTCCTCTAATTCATTTTTTTTCTTCTTTACCTTCGTCTTTCACATTCTTATTCTTCTCATAAAACTGCTTCCTCATTAATTATTCAGCTAATTCCTCCATTCATTAATTCTCTCATTCATTTTCGTTCATTTTTTCTTAGAATATCATTGGCGTTCTTTATTTACTGATCTATTTGCATATCATTTGATTTTTCGTTCTAGTTTTTTGTTCTAGATTGTTTTTTTCGCATCATTATTCATCTCTTTCGCTATTTAGCTATTTACATTTTTTTATTATTTATTTATTATCATGATTTGGATTTTCAGTGTTTACTAATCATCGCCTTTATCCATTTCTTCCTTGTGTCCTTTTTCTTCAATCCGTTCCTTTTGTAGTTGTTCTTTCTTCATTTTTTGTCATTGTTCTTCATTCAGTTCCTTTTGTCCTTGATCTTTATTTCGTATTTTCGTTTGTCCTTATTCTTTATTAAATTATCTTCGTCCTAGTTCTTTAATTACTTATTTCCGTCCTTGTTCTCGATTCGAATCTTTTTGACCTTGTCCTTTATTCAGTTATATTTGTCTCTTTTGTCCTAGTTTTTAATCCACTTATCCTCCACTTGGCACACGTAATAAGTCACGCGGGCTTTGTGAAGCACTTGGAATGCGGTGATGAAACGGCTGTTGTGGCTGAGAGTCGTGGCTGAGAGTCGTGGCTGAGAGTCGTGAGTCGTGGCTGAGAGTCGTGGCTGAGAGTCGTGGCTGAGAGTCGTGGCTGAGAGTCGTGGCTGAGAGTCGTGGCTGAGAGAGTCGTGAGAGTCGTGAGAGTCGTGGCTGAGAGAGTCGTGGCTGAGAGTCGTGGCTGAGAGTCGTGGCTGAGAGTCGTGGCTGAGAGTCGTGGCTGAGAGTCGTGGCTGAGAGTCGTGCCTGAGAGTCGTGCTGAGGAGTCGTGCCTGAGAGTCGTGAGAGTCGTGCCTGAGAGTCGTGCTGAGAGTCGTGGCTGAGAGTCGTGAGAGTCGTGGCTCGTGGCTGAGAGTCGTGGCTGAGAGTCGTGGCTGAGAGTCGTGAGAGTCGGCTGAGAGTCGTGGCTGAGAGTCGTGGCTGAGAGCGTGGCTGAGGACGGGGGATCTCGGTTGATTAATTGTAATGGCTGGCGCTCTTGGTTGATCATTTGGAGTCCGTCGGTGTGATTTTTGTTTATATATGTTTGTATGTATGTTTATGTGTGTGTGTTGTGTGTGTGTGTGTGTGTGTGTGTGTGTGTGTGTGTGTGTGTGTGTTGTGTGTGTGTGTGTTGTGTGTTGTGTGTGTGTGTGTGTGTGTGTGTGTGTGTGTGTGTGTGTGTGTGTGTGTGTGTGTGTGTGTGTGTGTGTGTGTGTGTGTGTGTGTGTGTGTGTGTGTGTGTGTGTGTGTGAATATTTCTATATATATTCATTCACACGCAGAAAAAGTATGAATGAAAATTGACATCGTCAGTGCAGCTGTTTTGACCGTTTTCGATTACATGTTTTTCTGGCGAAGATACAATCGTAAAAGGTCAAAAGGTCAAAAAGGTCAGATGTACCTCTCGGATATATTCATTCTCATTCTTACTGTTCCTATTGTCGCAATGAACACTGTTCAGGCATATACACGTGTATCTAATTTTGTTCTTATATGTACAAAGCTATGATTAACCGCTCGAATATGGAGGGTTTACCTTTTTATAGATATTTTTCAGAGCAATATCATCCTTGAAAATGTCATTTGAAAGATGAGAAGACAGTTTTTAAATCCTTCTTGATCTCACCTTCATACCTGCAGTTATATCCAGTGTGATTTCACAACTGTTGGCTCAGTTTCCAGTGAACTTTTTTTGAGTAGTTTCTCTGTCTGTCTGTCTCTTTCTCTCTCTTTCTCTCTCTCACACTCTCTCTCTCTCTCTCTCTTTCTCTCTTTCTCTCTCTCTCTCTCTCTCTTTCTCTCTCTCTCTCTCTCTCTCTCTCTCTCTTTCTCTCTCTCTCTCCTTCTCTCTCTCTCTCTTCTCTCTCTTCTCTCCTCTCTCTCTTCTATCTCACACTCTCTCTCTCTCCTCTCCTCTCCTCTCTCTCTCTCTCTCTCTCTCTCTTTGTTGTTGTTGAAAAATGATACATTGGTAGTGTTTTAAAAAACAATCTTCAGTCTTTTCTACAATAATCTGTATTGCCATCTCTGTTGTTTATAGTGTAAGTGATATTGAACAGGTACCGCTGCCGCTTTTATTATTTTAGCAATTGTTTTTGTTCGTGTTTATTGAAATCGCTAGCTAGTATCGACAAGCTCGTTTGAGCGTTATCACCAGTGTTATTGATAATGCTGTTGAAGTTACTGTTGTCTTTATCGTGATTGTTGTCGTTACTCTAACCATAATTATTAATCGTCTTGTCCCACCAGCCCCTAACCCGGCCCTCCCTCGCCCTCAGGTCCGACGACGGCGATGGCGGCGGCGCGCTCGGAGGCGTCGGCCAAGCTGCCGGCGCTGTCGCGGCAGCTGCGCTACACAGGCCTCTTCACCTCGCAGATGGCGCCCACGTCGCGCGCCTACTGCATCCTGCTGAGCTTCTTCGTGGGCGTGCTCATGCTCACGGCCGGCTCCGTGTTCTACCACGTGATCCTGATCCGCCCCATGAGCGGCGCCCACCCCATGCACACGCCCCCGCTGCCGCTCGCCGCAGGCCTCATCCTCGCCGGCGCCGCCACCGTCCTCGGCTCCTGCTTCGTCGCCTGGAGGTGGGTGCTCGGGGGCAGGGAAGGGGGGGGGGGGTATGGGAGGGACAGGGAAGGGGAGGGCACACTAAAGAATCAAAACAAAAATATGAGAGAAAAAAAAAACTGACAATCAAAATAATAGATACAAAAATAAAGAAAAAACAACACGAAAGTAAAAAAATAAGAAAAAAAAAAAATTAACCAAGCGGATGATGTGATCACATAAATGGGAAGACTTCTCGAAGGTTCTTCACTTGTGAAATATCTTGACTCCTTTTGATAGATTATTCCATTAAGGAAATGATAGATCTCATTTTTGCGTTTGAAGAAGAAAAAAATGGTCCGAGGCAATTAAGCCAAGCATACTTTTTTACTGTTGTTGTTGTTGCAAATGGTTATTATATGATTATTTGTTGATTTTTATCGTGAATTGGCAAGATTTTTTATCTTTCTATTCATAGACACCCCCCATTTTTTTTTAATTCATTGTGTAGTGATTTCTCTATTCAAGTGTCTAATTATCTATCTATCAATTTAATCACCTATATATGTTTGAGAGAAAGAGAGAGAGGCGGAGAGCGAGGGGACAGAACCCCGAGTCCGTTTTCCCGGAAAGGAAGATCCTAATCTCTCCCCCTTCTCCCCCTCCTCCTCCAGGTACGGTTTCGACGACGGGGACGACAGCCTTGAGGACGACCTGTACTCCTTCACTAAAGACGACGTCCTCGACCAGCGCCACCAACAGCAACTGCAGCAGCACAGCAGCAACTACAACAGCAACAACAATACAGCAGTACCAGCACCACCACAGCAACTACAGCAGCTTCAACAACAGCAACAACAGCAATTACAGCACCAACAGCAACAGCTTCAACAGCAGCAGCACCACCCACAGTGTTGCCCATCCAACAGCAAAATACCCCCTGTCTGAGCCTTTTAATCCCAAGAACCTCCCACCTTTCTTCAGGTTACCCTCAAGTGTCTCTCTCGGTCTCATGGATCGCCATGCACTGTACCTCTGCTTATCATTACGGGCAATAAATGATAGTAGAGCGAGATAGATAAGAGAGAGAGAGAGAGAGAGAGAGAGAGAGAAGAGAGGGAGAGAGAGGAGAGAGAGAGAGAGAGAGAGAGAGAGAGAGAGAGAGAGAGAGAGAGAGAGGAGGAAGGGACATAAAGGTCAAAGGCTTTCTCTTGATCGACTCTGAAACAGCCTCGGAATCTTTCAAAGCTTCGTTAAAAGTTGGATGACCTTAATAGGCAGCCGTTTATATTCGTGACACGACCCTTACGATTTGGAGAGAGGCAAAAAAAAGATTGAAAAAATATATAATTCAAAATGGAAAATACTCTCTGATACTATATATCATACGAGATTACTCCAATGTAATGAATTCGTGTTAACTCAGATCGATCTTTTTACAAACTTTTCTTTTAGACAGGGTTATACTGGAACCCTGAGTATATCATTATTTTCACTATCAGTATCATAATAATTTCCCACACACTTGTAATTAATCACTGAGGTTCCTGAGGCATTTCATAACACCACCTAATGAACGAGAAATATTGTCATTTATATTTTTAATGACAAAATGCCCAGAAAAAATATATTTCATTTCAACATAAGTGACCTGACCTGACCTGACCCTTTGACCTCCTAGTTCCGTGTTTTCTCTGTTAAAACACGTCATTGGATTTTGCCTCTCTCTCTCTTTCTTTTCTTCTTATCATTATAATTTTACTTTTTGTGTAATACTCTGTCGTGTCTCTCAGTGATTGTAGTTATTTTCTTATCTGTATTTAGGTGTCTGTGCTTCGTGGAATGGGATGTCAGTTATTCTTATTTATGGCTGTGAAGTATTAACAAAAATAACTGTAACAAGGAAAAGATTAACAGACGAGGATAATCTTAATGGAATGAAGCGAAGAAGAAGAAGAAAAAAAAATAAAAAGATGTTTTTGGTGGAATGAAGTGAGGATAAAATGATGTTCTGATGGAATGAAGCGTGGAAAGAAATCAAAGAACATTTTTTATGGAATGTGGTGAGGGGAAAAAAAAATGTTTTTGATGGCATGAAGTGAGTGAAAAAAAGCTGTTCTGGTGGAATGAAGTGAGGAAAAATGAGAATGTTTTTGATGGATTGAAACGAGGAAAAACAAGAAAGAATGTTTTGATGGGATGAAGCGAGGAAAAGCAAGAATGTTTTTGATGGAATGAAGTGAGGAAGGAAATGAATTGAAATTGTACGAGATTGTAGTAAATCGTATTAGATTGTATTCCACTGTATTCATCTGTATTAAAGAGAGTGAAATGGAAGATAAATAGAAGGAGGATTAATTCAATAGGCTTAATTATATCATGTTCCCGTTTCTGATTTTAATCGTCGAAGCTTAATTCCATTTTCTTGTCTAGTTTATTTTTATAATTAATTTAGTTTACAGTCGTATAATTATTATTTGCAAGCTAGAGAGAGAGAGAGAGAGAGAGAGAGAGAGAGAGAGAGAGAGA